AAATTATCATATGAAAAACATGAGCAAATGCTACGAGAAAAATAATTTTCTGTAGTTTTCATAGACAAAAACAAAATTGCTATCATCTTCGATCATTAGGGTTGACAAAAAGATCCACAGCTTAAAGGATTTCAGTTTTTATCTTCATTTTTCATTCAAGACGTCACGTCTCGAGGTAAGCGTGCATATAGAACGTCATAGTTTAAGTACCTTTCAAAATTCATGGATTCAATTTCAGAAAGCATTATTTTTAGCTTTAAAATAGTTCTTAGGTATAATAAAGAATATTATAGCGTGTTCAATGCTGACTTTACGTTTTTTAAAACAATACTATGTCGTTATTTGAAGGCTACATAACTTTTATGCATTAAAAAGAAAGAATATTGAGAAACGAAAGAAATATTGAAAACCATTTGAAGAAAAAGAAATCCTGACTACGTTGAGTTTTTAGAAAAAAAAACACCACAAAGTTAACGATTTATCTAAACTAAACGAGATTTAGGAACAATTTAAACTGTTCGGAACAAAAAACTTCTGCAGTAAGCTGAACAATTCAACCTTATTTCGTGACGAAAAAACTTACTCTGAAATTCGCAGAAGAACTTAATCTGGGACAAAAGAAACAAAGAGCTGGCAACCCTGTGAAATTATGATTATAGGCAGCATGGTATATTTAAACGATGTTGTCTACTTAGAAAATTATGGGGTAGAAGCGCTACTTTAAATGTGTGCATATGGTGCCCCTGATAATCGCCGACGAGCTGGAAAGCGTGTTATTATCGTTTTAGTAACTTTAGCTAAATATCATAGATTAACGTGTATACGCTATAGTGGTCAATTACTGAGTTGAAACATACTTGATGTTTATTCTGTCTGACATGAATAGGGTTGTTAAAATTACATTCTAACTAGACGCTCATTACGTAACTAAACAGATAGCACCAAAAAGATAATTAAAAAAAAACAACTCTTAAATTAATCTTACTGAAGTGCCTGGATTTACTAACCACTAAGAGCTGGGCCATACTTGGACATATATTTATTGACATATTCTGTATGTATATGTATAATCATTTGGATAGTTGTTGGCTGTCTAAATAAGAAATAATGAACTCATTTCTCTAAACAAGATGAAAATTATAGTAAAATCCTTCTAACAAAGTGGTACCTAGTTAAATTGTGGATAGTTATGATGATAATGATGGTGAACGTACGGATATTGAATCGAATTAAAATCTAAATTATTGGTGTAACAATAATAACATTTTGTGAATTGATATGAAAATAACTTTTACTCATTATAGTTCGACCTTCAAACATTGATATTCCCAGAAACATTAATAAAATTAGAAATTCATTAAATTTTATGAAACGACCCTATAAATAAACCCGTTTTATTTTAAGCACTGTTAAAATTAGGACTTTTTAAACATTTCTCAAGTGTTCAAGAACAAAAAGCAAATTTCGTGTTACCCTCAATAAAATCTCTTGATTTATAAATTCTCTGCAATAAATGCTCTAAGTGGATACTTGAAACCGATTTTGATTTCAAATTGACTCTTAATGATTGCTTTGTAAGTACTTTAATTACGTAAGTTTAGTTTGAATGGCTTAACATTTAAATATCTGCCTTATTACAGGTTAATGAGTTCTTTTTTCTCTTGACTTCTTCCAGAATAGTCTGACGTCAGCCATTTATAATTGCGACCTATTTGTTATAACAAGCGTCATAGGTAACGTGAAAAATGACTTATTATTAAATTTAAAGTTTGAAGAGCTTCTTGATAAAAAAAAAATTAAAACAAAAATTTATTAACATGCGCTAACTCTATGCCGTAGTACGTCGCAATTATTAAAACGCAAATATTAGGCAATTATTAATAATTTCATTGACAAGATAGTAAAAATATAAAATGTAGGTTTTAAAATATATGTAAACCACCGTTAAATTAGCCGTTAAAGAAAAAAACTTTTTTATGTTTTCATTTACCAACTGACTGTAGTTTTCTCATTCAACAATAATTGTGTAGTTGTATAAGTTTTTCATAGCGTGCTAATGATAAATGGTTTTAACTTCCATTAATTCGAATTTGTAAAGTGCTCGGAATGTTTTAGCCAGCAAGCTAGTACCTACTCAAATGAAGCAAATTGTCGGTCACTGCAGACGGTCCCTTTCGCGCCAGTGAGCGTGTAGCGTTCAAACGACCGTGCTGCATTTATGATTATACCAATCCTTAACAGCCGTAAGCATTTAAAAGCCAACTGTTTTAAAAACCCACTTCTCAGATCGAATGTGAGATTGTAAAATACTCAACATTTTCGTCTCATATAATCTCCATTCAGATCACACAAATTCCTTTCCTTGGTTTTCAATATCTCATCTCGACACAGCTAACAAGTACCCTCACCCTAATCGATTCACGTGGAAGCTGGCACGACAATATAAATCAAAACCTTTCAGAATTCCGTTCCATTATCAGACAGCAATTTTTCTCATCTATACCTAAAAGCATTATTCAATTGTACCTATCGCCTTATCGTCGACAAATATGCTTTGTCAATAGAAATTTGAACTGAATGTAGACAATGCGCTGTGATACTGAAATAAGCAAACAAAGCGAATGGATCTCATGTTTCAATAGAGACTTTGTGGAGCCGAGCTGTCACCGGCAAAATGTCATTGATGAATTCAATGGGTTCACTTTTGTTTCGTTGGATGCGGAAGATAGTGCGTAGCTTGCGCTATCATTAGCATTTCTAAATAGGTCATTGCGAATAACGCAGAATTGAGTTTCGAACCTACCCAAAGAACGGTACACATCGGTTTTATTCCTAAAACGAGAAATGCATTACTAAGATTTATTAATCTAAAATCCTCTCTGTAGTTTTTCTCTTACTAAAAACCAACCCGTTCTAACTTTTGGCGGAGCTGTGGTACATTATTGCCCTTGCATCCAATCCTAGCTGAACATCCTAACATCCTAGTGGGCCTTATCAGTAGTGGAATGATGGCTCTTTCAGGTGATCCTCGCAGTGACGACTTACGGTCGTTTCCGTACCGTACAAGATTTAATATGATGATGAACCTTAATTCCATTTTTAAATTGTCAAAACCAACCAAGGAACACATTGAGCAGATCGTTTTGTAGTTGTCTGTTAACCTCTAAACGACGAACGCTTTGAAGGCGACTTAACCCACAAGAATTCATATTGTTGGTATTTTGACGATTTCTCTTCAAAATACCAACAATATAACTTTCTTTTTGTAGAAAATAATGAATATTAATTATTAATGCCTCGCTTATGCGGTCCGTCATACACTACACATTATGTTAATATGTTCTGCTGCTGCCAAATATAGAGTGAACCAAACCAACACCTTAGTCATAGTAAAAGCAATTTTTAGACCAAAAAGTCCAGATGACCTTTTCCAGCCTCATCATTCATCAGTATAAAATTGAAACCTAATCAATAATCAAATCAGGCTATACATTCATACTCGTGTAATCTCCTCAATGGAGCTACACCTTTATGATGACTTAATAAGCTGATTTGCAAATTATCCGTCATATTCGAAGACAGATTGATTTCAATTACGTACTCGTATTATTAAACGAGATAGTAGTAGATTAATTGAACACTATATTATGTATGTCGGAGTTACACTATTAGATTACTAAGGCTGGTTTAGCTCTCTATTCCGTTTCTAAATATCGTAGCGTTATATAAGACGAGACTATCAGATGCCAAAACTTATCAAAATCATCCATCGGTTGTTTTTGATTGTACCAATTAAAGCTTAGACTTGTTAGAGAAACATGAATTATCCATCTCTTATTTTCTTTTCTTTCTTTCTTTCACTTCCAAAAGGCCAGCTAGGCATTTAGAACTCCTCTGATCTTATAGGTAAGTGTTCATTGGCGATGCATACCATCAATTGCCACAAACTTCTTCTCGTTTGCCGTAAAAAATTGATACTGCAAACAAGATAATATAGCTGTTGTTTGCCTATTTTTAATAAACACCCTATTGTTATACAAAATAAATAATATAATAAATTCACAAGTCAAGAACAATCATATCAAATTCAAGTAATCTGAAAATAAATCTAATTTAGGTACAGATTGTTAGAACTAGGTTTTGTCTAAACAAGTTATGATCGAGAATGTTCGCTTTGCTTTCTTAGAACAATCTAGGGACTAGAGAAACTTTGTGGAAGATAACTTGTCTCTCCTCATTAATTTAAGGTTGGAGATATTATTACATTCGTTCTATAACTGAGAACTCCATTCTGAGACGTTTGGCCCGTATTACAGATGATAAAGTGGCCTTGGAACATACTATTTGAAGTCTTACAAAGGCTTTTGATATGGTGGTCTTCACTGTAAAATATTAAAGGTAGAAACGTAATGGTTTCAGCTAGATAAATATGTATTTAATATATATGCTTACATATTATAGTAGAATTGTAAATCTAAGCGGTTGTAATGGCCAAGATCCACGAACTTTTAGGTCTATCTGGGCTGAACCTTTCCTATAATAAATGTTCAATCTCTACCTTTGTTATTGTTATTTTTTGATGTCTTATTGTAGTTGTGAGATTCTATAAAGTAAACATAAAAAACCTGTTTTTATTTACTAAAAATTCATTAAAGTGTCATAACAAAATGGTGATGATTACTGTAACTGACTTGGATTCGAGTTAAGAACTAATGTAATTTTATTAGCAGTTTGGCCATAAAGACCAAAATACCATAATCTTGTAGTTGCTCGTACTTATATAGTTTCCATTTTTAGATTCCGAAGAAATCGACGTTAATACCAAGTGAACCTTATACCCAACGTTATAGAAATGAATATGAAACCATATGAAATGTACAACGTATTTCCCATAGCCATATCATGCTTACAATCGTGTTTCTTCCTTTATTCGCCTAAGTAATTTGGACGTTTGCAGTATTAGTAGGGCTTGGGCTTTCAATCAGGAGGTTGGAGCTCACCTGATCCCGTACTGCGAATGTATTGTGTGCGTGTCTGCCTGTGGGGGATTTATAAGAGATTAATAAAGTGTAATGATAGTTGTATGGGTTCTGACAGTGAAGTGGGAAGGTAATAATTGCTTTTACTTTACGTCCCTGTCATTGTTTCCTGGTGAAATGTTCGCGGGTATTGTTAAAGTAAACAGGTAAATAGGTTGCTATAATCATTATACGTAAGGACTATTTTACCTTTTTGGAGTTTTTGAAAATAAATAAAGTGAAAAATTATTGGTATTGTTTTTTAATACGTAAAATATTGAGTTCACTATCTCGAAAAATAGAATGAACCGAGTTTTTAACAAAAAACAAAACATTAACGTATTGATGTCATTCACATCATCAGCCTATAAATACTTTCGCAAAGGTCTTTCTCTCACACTGAGATAGTATTAATCACCGCGTTCGCCTATGGCGGATAAGTGATTGTAAACTCATCATTAAAAATAAGTCCAAGTTTCTTCACTTCACCGTTTATTAGCGCTCTATGTTAATTCACTCAGAAAGTATATATCTTGCCAGGTTTCGAAGCTGCACCCATGCACCCCTTTCGGGCGGGAGCTTTAACCTTCGGAGCCACCACAGCAAAATGTCTAAAAAGTTCCGTGTCTAAATTTAATATTATCATGTTTGACATTTAAAAAACATTGCTTTTATCATAAAATACGTGATCTTTTGGAAACAAAGTGACCTGTCTAGTTCAACAATATTGTTCATATTTTCATGAATAAAGGTTATTTTAGAAAAATACTTTTATTCTATTTTTGACATCCAATCATTCAGATAACCTTTTTAATGGTGATATCAAGTACTACAACGAAAAATATTTGGCAATTTTTTAATTCTAATTTTTTTTGTTAATTTTTTTTTTTTTTTTTTTGTGAGGGGAAAATCATCAAATGACTTCTCCCGCCCAGGGCCGGGCAGGAGGGAGTGTCAGACTCTTACTGACTAAAAACCCCCCTGTTCCTTCTCCTGCTCTGTGCCGAGGTCGCGGTACCTTATTGCGCTTACCCCGCAGCCCCGGCTGAACATCAGCCCTTTAGGGCCCCGTCTGTGGTGGTCTATTGGCTCTTTGAGGCGCGCGCGGAACGCTACGCGCCGTACGCTCGGGCCTGGTTCTGGTCGGGCGGCGAGCTGCCCTTACTCGCCGACCGCAGGCCCGTACTTACGGTGGCCGGAGATCGTCCCTCGATCCCCGACGCCCGTAGTGTCGCCAGTTGCGGCTGCTGGGGCGTGAGGAGGAGGATTGCTCCCTCACGCGGGCCGCCTCTCTCTTTGCGAGCATGACCGCTTCACAAAAGGAGGAGACAGCGTCCCAGTTCCTCTCACTCCGCACCATGGCCTCGACTAAGGCCGGGCGCGAGAGGTCGCCGCCGCCGATCACTTCCCTGAGGATACGGCGGTGCTCAGCCCAGGCAGGGCATACCGCTACCGTATGCTCCACCGTATCCTCTAGGTGGTCCTCACAATGACGACACTCGGGCGTTTCCTCCCGCTGAATCCGAAACAGGAACCTACCGAAGCTGCCGTGCCCGGTAAGCACCTGCGTCAGACGGAAGGTGAGGACGCCGTGGCGTCTCTCAAGCCACTCCTCAAAGAGGGGTCTTACCGCTGCTATGGTAGCGTGCCCGGCCCTCGGTTGCGACAGTCGTTGTCTCCACTCTGCCATGAGATCTCGCCGGAGCTCATTCCGCCACGCATTTATTTGGCGCGGCAGAGGATCTTCGCCCCGGCGACGCGCGTCTGCGCGCAAACTGTAGACGCGCGCGAGCGCCTTCGCTTCTAGATCCCACGGCGGTGATCCGGCAAGGAGGTTCGCCGCCTCCCCGGAGATCGTGCGATACCCGCGGATTACTCGTATAGCCATGACCCTCTGGGACGCGACCAGCGTACGAGCCGGCCGCCGCTTCAAGTCCGGCGCCCACACAGGGGCACCGTAGAGGGCCATGGATCGCACAATCCCCATATACAACCTCCGGCAGGAGGCGTTTGGCCCTCCGAGGTTGGGAAGGAGCCGCTTGAGCGTGGCCCCAGACCGTTCCAACTTAGGGGCCAAACGACGAAAATGCTCCGTGAAGTTCCATCGGCTGTCGAGGACGAGACCAAGGTACTTCATCGCCGACTCGACGCCGATGGTAACTCCTCCTGCCGTTACTTGGGACCCACCTGGAGGTGGCGCGCTCCGACGGCCATAGAAGCACATGGCCTCGGACTTGTGGAGCGCCACCTCGAGTCCCAACTGCCGGATCCTTGCAACGACTGTCGCAACCGCTTGTGACATCAGGTCGGCCGCCGCCTGATGCGACCTCCCGTTCGCCAGCACCAGCGTGTCGTCAGCATAGCAGACAATGCTGACGCCGCTCGGGAGGTCGGTGCGTAGCACCCAATCGTACCCGATGTTCCACAGGAGAGGTCCCAGGACCGATCCCTGTGGGACACCGCGCGACACCTCTCGCCGATTCCACACGCCCCGGTGACCGGGGTAGATGACACATCTGTCCGTCAAGTAAGCCTCGACTACACGACGGAGATAGGCAGGCACCCGGTGGTACCGGAGTGCCTCCAAAATGCAGCTCCAGGGCAGCGAGTTAAAGGCGTTGGCGATGTCCAGAGACACCGCCACGACGACTCGCCTCCCGGCCAACGCTGTCCCCGTCGTGAGGTCCCTCACGCGCATGATGGCGTCCACCGTGGAGCGCCCTCTGCGGAAGCCGAACTGGCCGTCCGCTAAATCCGGCCCCCTTCCAGACAGGTGCCCGACGAGGCGGTCTGAGATTATCCTCTCGAACAGCTTTCCCACCTCGTCGAGCAGCACAATGGGCCGGTACGCGGACGGAGAGTCCGCAGGACGCCCCGGCTTCTTCACGAGGACCAGTTTACCCGTCTTCCACGACAGCGGAAACTGGCCTCTCTCCAAACATGCGCTGAACAGACCAAGTAGTCGAGGCCTGAGAGCCTCCGAGGCCAGGACCCAGACCTTGGCATGCAGCCCGTCAGGTCCTGGGGCGGTATTCTTGCCGCTCAGCCGGCGCACCGCCACTCTCAAATCTACCTCGGTCACTTCCGGAGCGGATTCGTCGTCGTCGTCGATGTAGCCCGCATTGGGCACCGCAGGGGGCGGGGGCATAGCCGGAGGCGTGTAACCCATCTGTGGTCGGGGGAATAGCGCCCCAACCACTTCGTCCACGACCTCCGGCCGGAGACTCTGAGTCAGTGGGGGCGCCCAGGTGCGGAGCTTATCACGCACCATCCGGTAGGGGCGTCCCCACGGGTCTCTGTTCAGAGTCTCCAACATCTCCTCGCGGGCCCGATCTTTGGCCCGCCGGATCTCCACCCTGAGGGTGGCCTTCGCCGCCCTGTACTCCTCGTATAGCTCCGCCTCTCTGGTTTCGGCGTCCAGAGGGCGGAGACGGAGCCTGCGGTGCCTGGTGTATCGGCGTCGCGCTGCGGTGCACTCACCGCGCAGGTCTGCCAATTCCTGCGACCACCAATACACCTGGCGCTTGCGTTGGCACGGTCGGATCCGGGGCATCGCCACGTCGCACATCCTTGACATGGCGTCCTGGAGCCATCTCGCCTCCTCGTTAATGTCGGCTGGCCTGACCGGTGGTATCACCCAGGCCTGCACGACTGCGGCTTCCAGGAAAAGCTCCCGGTCCAGTTGCCTAAGCGCCCAACGCGGGCCACACGGGGCCTGTCTGACTGGCGGGTCTGCGGACTCGGCGGAGACGTCGAACCGTATATACCGGTGGTCCGAAAACGTCTCCACCTCCTCCATGACGCGCAGTCAACAACGCGCGATGACAGAGCGGGGCTAGCAAACGAAATGTCCACCACTGACTCGCCCCGCATCCGTACGCACGTGGGGACAGAACCCCGGTTCAGCACGACTAGGCCTGTCTCCGGATCCCAGTCTTCGACCATCCTTCCCCGGACATCAGTGAGCCGGGAACCCCAAGCCAAATTCTTGGCATTGAAGTCCCCGAGGACCAACACGGGGAGGGGACGGAACCCGACGACGACGGTGACTAACTCCCTGAGGGAGTTGTGGAACTCGACGAGAGTTCGGTTCGGAGAGAAGTACACGCCCACCACGGCGATCTCTCCGAACCGAGCCGCGACGCAACCCCTGCCTCGCTGAGGCCCTTCGGGGGTTGGGGTACCGGCGGCGGCCGACGAGATGATGGTCACCGAGCCGTCCAGGTCTGACACCCAGTGTTCCCTGGCTGGAACGAAGTACGGCTCGGAGACCACAGCAACATTGATCGACCACTGCGCCATGCTCTGGAGCAGGAGATCCTGAGCAGCGACGCAGTGGTTGATGTTCGCCTGGAGGAGGCGTAATGGAGCCATTATTGGGTATCCATCACGACCTCCTCTCTGACGGCAGCGGCGACAGCAGCAGTCGCAGGGGTGTTGGCGACTGCGGCGGCAGCGGGAGCGACGGTGGGAGCGGTGGAGGTGGCTACGGGCCTACCTTTGCTCCTGGGTTTGGTGGGGGGGGAGCAGGTTTTGCCCCCAACCCGGTGATCAGCCGGTTTGCCAGCCGCCGCACATACTACGCAGTGCGGCGGGGCGGTACAAGCGCCGGCCCTGTGACCGGGCTGACCGCAGCGGAAGCAGCGGTCGCTGCGGTCCACCTCTGAGGTGCACTTGGCACCCACGTGGTGACCCACGAGGCAGCGGAAACACCTCAAAGGTCGGGGTTCCAGGAGCTTCACCTGCGCCGAAACCCAGCCCACCAGGAGCCTTTTACCCTCTGCCAGCTTTTTGGCCGCTGTGACGGGGCAGCTGACTACCACAGTCCGCAGCCCCGTATTGTCCGGGCGGATAGTGCCTGCCTTGACCTGGTCAGCAGGGCACCCCCCCGTCCTGGCGACAGCGGCCGCCACCTCATTCTCCGTCACGGAGTCGTCCAGGCCCATGATGCGTAGCTCCAGGCATTTGGTGGGCCTGGACACGCGAGCTTCGTCCGCCGCAATGCACGCCCTGAGCCTCTCGGCAAGGGCGTCAGCGGACGGGCCGCTGGCCGCGCCGGGGACCTCCAAGAGACGGGCTCCAGTGGCAGTGACCCTCACTGCGAACCCGTCGGGTGCCCCAAACTCCGCGGGAGTTACCGCCCCCTTCAGTTTGGCGAGGACCTCGCCATACGTCACCCCCTTTTTCGCCGCGTCCGGCTGTAGTGTGATAACTACAGCCGAAGATTTTGGGGCGAGGAGCATTGCCGCAGCGCGCTTCTCCTTGCGCCGCTGCTGTCGCCGCTGCCGCTGCTCCTTCTTCCGGAGCTTCCTCCTCTCCTTGGCGATCTTCCTCACCTCCCCCGCCACTTGCCACTCGCTGCCAGCACGCGACTCAGACGGCGGAGTAGGTGCCGATGCGGCTGGGGCTCCAGCCGCTGCTCCTCTTCGTCTGCGGCTCATCGGCGCAGGAGCCAGCGCCGAGGGAGACTCGGGCGCTCTCGTCGGTGGCAAGGCTGGCGGCGCTTTCGCCCCCTTCTTCGCCGGTGCGCTGGCTTGTGCCCCACGGCTGGTTGGCGGCTTGGGCTTAGCCGCTGCGGCAGCATACGACCCGGCTGCGAGTGGAGGTCGCAGGAGCCTACCCTCCAGCACGTCGAAACGCTGCTGGAAGGCGGCCATCTCCCGCCGCATAAGGCCGAGAAGGTCGGCCTCCGCTGGCTGCGCAGGTTGGGATCGGACTCCCCGAGCTGCGGCGAGCTCTGTTTTTGCTGCCCGAAGCTCAGCCTCCAGGGCAGTATTGGCAGCCACCAAGCGGGATAGCTCCCGCCGCATTCCAGCCAGCTCTTTTTGCATAGCGGCCATCTGCCGCTCAGCTGAGCCCGGCTGGGATACCGCCGACATAATAGCGGCTTCCGCGTGTTTAAGCACTCCATTTCTGCCAGCCTGGGTTTTCTGCCCAGCCAGCATGCGGAGTGCTTCCTTTACTTGTAGGCGGAGGCTCTCAGCGCCGCCTACAGAACCCTCACCACCGGAGGCCTCCATCTCCGAGGAGTCCGAGGGGGCAGCCTTTCCCAGGGCGCTCCCCTCCGCTGCCAGCCGCTCTGCCGGCTCGGATCGGCTCCCAGCCGCCCTTGTGGAGCCCTTCCCCTTGCCCCTACCCCGCGCAGCCGTGGGGATTTTGGGGGCTGGGGCCTCCTGCTCGTTGGAAGACGGCTCCAACCTGGGACGTTTAAAAACGCCCCGGTCTTTCTTGTGGCGCAGCGCGATGCTGACGCCAGACAATGATGAGTCGGACTCTGAGTCTGACTCCTTCCTGCTAGAGGCACGTGCATACGATGCATCTAGCGCCTCGGTTATATTCGCAAGCGAGCTGACCTCGCTTGCGTCCTCCTCACCGTTAGGTGGATTTTTATTTTGGTTTTTGTTTTTAGGTATCTCCATTGAAGTCCCACGAGTATGGGGGAAATAAGAGGTCCGCCCAGGGAGAGCCCCCTGTCCCTGGGTAAGTGTGCATTTGTCTCCCAACTAGGGGGTCCACCGGTCCCCTAGCTGGGGGTGCGCTCACGACTGATTCTACTCCTCAGCCATACATACCCTCGCCGCGCACCAGAACTTAGTATTGGAGGAATTTTTTATAGAGGTTATCTTCCTCGCGGTCCGGGCGGTTAAGCCAAGACCCTCGTCCCGGTCCGAGTCATAAAACATGACCATGATCTCTTCCCGGATTACGATATCGACGGGTGCAGTCGGGCGCAGCTAGTGCCCCGATGCTACTCATTGGCAGGGTGAGTGCACAACGAGCGCCGCCCTTGTTTCTCCGCCCCGCTCTCTGCTAGGTCCAGAGAGTCGTGCAGAGGAACGCCCCCACGGAGGCGTGGACCCTATGCCAGCATAGAGCCGGTCGCCTCTAGAACCCGACCGGGTTCTCCGCCCGGCCAGAAGTTCGCTGCGGGCGACAGTCAGTCCAACCCTGTCGCCATCCCGTTAGGGAGACTGTCGCCCGCACCCAGGGTGCACCACGGGGAGGTCTTCTGGCATGCACCCCAATTTTTTTTGTTAATCATGCCACCTCACCTCACCATGGGTGACAGTAATGAGACCATAAAGTACATTAGGCTAGAAATAAAAAATGTAATCGGTCAGCATCTAAATCATCGTCAGTCGTGCTGTAATACTTATAAAATTACCTTTGTCCGAATTCGTGAAGACAATATGCTTCAACCATAACGGTTCACAGCAACAGCTTTATTTTATCAGCGACAAAGCCAGGAGAAAGAACACCTACTATCTGATATCTTCAATGTAAAGAACCTCTCGTTATCCCCTCATTTAATCGTCAGTCGAAGCGTTCCCTTAGCGAACGAAAACCTTCTACGATAAAAACTTTATTTATGTTTCTACTGAACGTATGTATTATAGGCATTAATGAGAATACCAGACAGTTTTCAGTAATGAAGCCATGTTACGTCCCTGCGATAAAATTTAAGTGGTCCATGCGGACATAAAATGAGTTGATACTCGAATACAGTTGGCATAACAATTGGCTATATAAAACGACACCACGGATAGTGTCGGCAACAGATAAAGATGATAATGGCTTACACAGTTAGGGCTTTCTCCCGATAGGCCTCTATAAAAACGATTCAGCCAGTAATTATGGTAACGCGAGAAATTTCTTGACGTGAAAAGCGACGATAAAACATATAAATGTTTGCTCGGATATCACACCGTGAGCGTAACGTACACGCAATTATGCAGACATGGTGTATTTAAATGCTGACTACAGCGCTACGTAATGTTGAATTTGTGCTAAGTCACGTTATCCAAACGCAACCGCCGAAACAAATTATTTTTCCTGGAAATATTTTTCTATCACGATAGAATATGATTTTTGCAATTTGTGAGCTCATTATTTCCCTTACAATAATTCTTTAATTATATGTTTGAGCACAAAATATCAAATGTTTTTCTTGACTCATAATTCAGAAGAATTTCCTAACAAAAATAAAACTTTTTACTCGAACATATTGCAAGGTCAAGAACCACAGTAAAGAAATTAAAAGCTCAAACGAAGTGCCCTTTGAAGTTTTAATTTAGAGGGAAAATTTTAATTTGACCGAAACGAAATGGTTATTATAATTTAATTCTCGTTGGATCTCTTTGCCATATACACGGCCTTCCATATTACGGAGCCTCGGGTACGTTTAAGTGAAAAAATTGCGCGTCTTCCGCGCAGACAGGGAAGTAATGAATTACATTAATGTGAAAATGTAATGTGAGGCTTCACTTAAAATTATAATTGCATCATGGCGTGTTTGTAAACTCAAGACGAGGACTTGAGTAGCCGAGAGAAAAGTTACAAAACTTAATTTCATACTTATAATTTGTCGTGTTGGCACAAGAGAAATGGCTGGGGAGATTTTATCATCACGAAAACTGAATTGTGTGTGTCAGTCAGATGGTGGCGCAGACTCGTGTTGTGAATAGAACTTGCTTCATTTTGACTGTTCCCAAATATTATGTGTCTATGAAATCTGCTTTCGTGTACCGTACGCTTCTGAATACGAGGCGACAAAAGATTTACAATTTTAATCTTACGTTGTTGTACAAATAAAATGTGGAATAAAATGAGTCACTTGTCGGCTAGGGTCTGGTATTGACAGCGTGATTATCTGGTCTGTACCGTAAAATAAATTTACTTTTAAATTCTTCTGTAACAAAATTTAGATCAATCTGCTTCGACGTTTGAAATTTATTGACATAATTAATTTCGTATTTATGATGGCGTATCCATCCAATTACTGTAGTACAAATAAATACTCTGTCTAATAAATGAGAAAGTAAACGAGCATTGTGTTTGTCAAGACTCTGGTACATTAATATGGGTTCATCCAGCAATGCATGACCATTCTACGGATCCAAAGCGAATGTTTTGTAGGCGCCATTTTGAAATTATTCCATTCGAATTGTTTGCCGTTGTCCGTTGAAAATATCTAGGAAAAGAATTGTTTCAAATAAATGTGTCGTATTTAAAATATAACGTTTTGGCGAGAAAATGAAATTCGTGTTGTGAAGTATGAATATTTGTGTTGAAACACAGGCGGGCTCCATGCTGATCAATGTAAAAGCTATTTGCGAAATGTCAGCAGCTCATATTCTTGTTCGGGACCATTTCGTTTTCAATATTGTTTATTTCAACGATATTTTCACTGTGTCTTCTCAGTTGTTTTAACTATTTGCATATGATATATATGTTTTTTATTGTAATGGTAATGTAGGCAAAGTTTTACTACCTTTTTGCACTTTTATCGGTTTTAGTAGCATCGGATAACAGGTCAGCTGTGCACTCTTGTCATTGTTAAATTACCACTTTATTGAAACCTTAACAATGCCCACTGATGAATTCCTTTTTCTCCATTTAAACAAGTAAGGAATTCAGACCAAACTAAATTTCTAAGACCTTGAACTTCGAAATCAGGCATCCAATCACGTTCCCGAACTTTGATTAGCTTCACATCACTACTATATACCGTAAGTCAAAGTAAAGTTTCCAATTGAAACACGAGAACCAACGATAACACGGCAAATTGATAATTAACACTCGACCAGTGAAATTACAGCGAAATTTCTATGCTTTACAAATTAAAGGGATTCTCGAACAAGTTAGGGCTCTGTAAAGATATTACAAACTCGATTAAAGTCCAGTGCGGAAACGCAGCTTATCAAAACAAGTTGGATCAGTATCTAAGCGTGGAACTTTAATTACTGGTGAACTTTATACTTGGGATCATACGGAGAAGGATGGCGTTGTAAAAGAATTGCAATGTAGAAAACTGAAAACACTCTTCGGATTTATAAAAAGAAAATGTAATTAAATTTAGTTTATTCTGTGTGTGTAAGCAGGTAAAAGAAAATTAAGATGTAATTATGAATGATTAATTCCGTAGTACTTTCTAAATGATTGGAAAAATACAAAACATTTTCTGTTTTTTTTTTTGCATTTGGCACTCAATATCGTTGTTTTGTGACCATCAGGTAATCCGTCTGCTCGTTTGTCAAAAAATAACATTAAATAAAAATATTGAATTAATACATCCTAAATGCTTGTGGTATAAAAGTATAAACTTATTTATTTCAATTAGGAAAAATTCTCGAAAAAAATAACAATAACAGACACAGAAAAGTACAATCTATCAGTTAGTCTGACATAGGATCGAAAGGTTACTGATAAATAAGTTACAAATAAAAGTACACGTCGTCCTTTTTCCAAATTTTCCAAATGATACCTAATTGTTTGAAATAGGTCCTCTCTCTATGTCAAAAAATAAAAATATCTACGTTACATTTTTACGATTTCGTCAAGTCATACCAATTACAACTGCGTGTATAGCTTTAATGACACTAGAATGTTCTTGTAACTAACGATCTGACCCAGGTTTGACAAAAAAAAACTTTTTGTCTGGCTACGAAAGACTGTGTATTTTTCTATTATTTTTTATATCCGAAACCACCGTTCTGCTACAAAATTTACGTAGATTTTTTGGCATGAGCGTACTATGAACATTGCATACAATTACTAAAGGATTCCAAATTAAATAGGCTTATGTACCAAAAAATAATAGTAAATGATCACCAAGATTAGGACCGCATTAATTCTAATATAATTATTAGTCAAAGTTTTTATATCTTGGTATCCTTTTCATCACGACTTGTTTGAAGTAGCGCTCGACAGCCACTGCTTACTTTTGGTGTTCGAATATAATTTCAAGTATATAATCAGGAGTATCAAAGCATTTCGTGGTGGTCATATTAAACCAAATATCCTGTCATATAATAATAATAATTAAAATAATTCAAGGACTCAATAGGTGAAGTATGAATTTCAAATATACATGATCTACTAGCTCGTCTTTCTTACCAACATCTCAGGAAACCAGAACTCCTTACTAACAAAGATCCACCACCCTAATTACAAATTCAACACTATTGTGCAGCACTAATTCATTCGTTTGTCAAACAACTAACTAAGTTTCCGAAAACTGAACTTGCACGGACATTAAATGTTGGACCCTTGTGTTTTAACTTAAACTTACGTCAACTTCTATCCCGGGTATCCGAAATATCTTCAACGGTGGAACATCCCTCGGGGAGTACCGACAGAACTCTCTGTCTCCCCGGTACCATTTGACGGAGTATAAAACCTCCTGTTCGAGGTCATAGAGGCACTTCATCTCGACTTTGGAACCTCGTTCCACGGCTTCTGGAACCACCACGTGCACATTTCGAAGGCAGAGTGCACCTGGAAAGAAGAATATTGGAAATTAGTATGGGATTTAAGAAATAATGGTGGATTAAATGATTTTATATCATTATTATTTTTATGTGATGATGATGATAAATCTATTTATAAAGTAAATTATTTTAGAATAGTAACCTCACAG